TTAAAATCGTTGCAGAACATGTCGGAGAAGCCAAGACTGCCATTTACCGGACTGATTGCCCATGCTCCAAACGGAGGGGAGGTCGTCGAGGTCAACCCGCCTCAATACGCAATGAGAGCCGGCTTCTCGTTTGACCTAGGAGCCATCACGCATGGGAACTCCAGCTTCCTCTACTCTGTCCGAGACATTCCTGACCCTGAGAGGCTCTCTGAAAATTCTTCGCTAGATTTGACACAAGCCACCGCCCTCCTCAACACTCTGCGGCGCCAATTGTCTCTGATACAAGGACCCCCCGGAACAGGGAAGAGCTACACAGGAGAGAAGATCATCAGGGTTCTACTTTCGAACAAGCAAAAGGCTGATCTAGGCCCCATACTGTGCGTGTGCTACACCAATCATGCCTTGGACCAACTTCTAGAGCATCTAGTCGATGCTGGCGTTGAACAGATTATCCGGATAGGCTCTCGGTCGAAGTCGGAGAGGCTCGATAAGTTGAATCTTCGTGAAGTGGTAAAAGACATGCAGCGGATGCCTTCCGAGAAGCGCTCACTCTGGACAAGTCACAATGCTCTAGCCGACGATGAGAAGAGAGTGAACACATCTCTTGTTGCCCTAGAGAACTCAAAGTCCTTGACTAGCTTGAAAGAATTTCTCCACGCCCAGTATCCCAGACACTATCAGGAGCTGTTCGGCCAGGGCCCGGACGACGAGGGCTGGGAAACCGTTCGGTATGGCGCTCAGCGAGGTCTCCAGAGCTGGCTCAGATCAGGAGCAGTAGCAAGCAGTCGTCCCCGCTCGCTCGATGACCTTCGTGCGGCAAATATGCAGACGTTGGCCAGAGATGAGCGCCAAAGGCTCTACGAATGCTGGCTTGAAGAGATCTCACAGGGTATCATCGCAGATATCGAGACTGGGTATACCTCGCATAAACGCAATTGTAAGGGGAGGGATGCGATCAGAAACGAGATTGACTTACGCTGTCTTCATGGAGCCAATGTAATTGGCGTCACGACTACAGGCCTAGCGAGGAATCTGAATCTTCTCAGTAGGCTCCAGTGCAAGGTGCTTCTCTGCGAAGAGGCCGGAGAAGTTCTCGAGGCTCACCTTCTCACCACCCTCCTTCCTTCCGTTGAGCACGCTATCTTGATCGGCGACCATCAACAATTGCGGCCGCAAATTCAGAACTATGAACTTCAGAGCACGAATCCCCGGGGCGCCCAATACTCTCACGACGTTTCGTTATTCGAAAGGCTTGTCGAGCCCCCTTATGAGACCGACGCCAGGTTGCCGCTGAGCACTCTCGATACCCAGCGACGGATGCACCCTAGCATCTCGGAGTTGGTACGATCGACACTTTATCACTCGCTTGAAGACGACCAGAGTGTTCGGGACTACCCCCCGGTTGTGGGAATGAAGAAGCGTCTTTTCTGGTTGGATCATGAGGAACTCGAAGCATCTGCTATGAGTTCGGATCCGCTGGGTACGTCCCATTCCAACGACTTCGAAATCGAGATGGCCACTTTGCTAGTCTCTCATCTGGTCCGGCAAGGCTCATACGGTCGAGGAGACATTGCAGTTCTCACGCCGTATTTGGGACAACTGCACCGGCTGCGGCAGCGGATGTCTAGCTTGTTCGAGATCACCGTGAATGAGCGTGATCAGGCAGATCTGGATACCGCCGAGCAACATGGAGAGACGGCCGGGTTTGCCTCCTTTTCTGCAAACCAGGCACGCAAGTCGAAACTCCTGGACAGTATCCGGGTTGCCACCGTGGACAATTTCCAGGGGGAAGAGGCCAAGATCATTGTTATCTCACTTGTCCGAAGCAACCCGCAGAACAAATGTGGGTTTCTCAGCACCTCGAACCGTATCAATGTGTTGCTTTCGCGCGCTCAACATGGCATGTTCATCATTGGGAACTCCAATACATACGCCAATGTACCCATGTGGGCGCAAATCCTCCGCATTCTCCGCAGAGACGGCAACATCGGCCCCCAGCTCGAACTCCAATGCCCTCGACATCCGGGAATCCCAATCACGGTCTCAAACCCCGATCACTTCGTCCAATTCGCCCCGGAGGGAGGGTGTAACCTTGCCTGCGACAGACGCCTTGAGTGTGGCCACACCTGTACCAGTCGGTGTCATTCGGAGGTTATCCACAACGCTGTGAAGTGCTTGGAGCCCTGCCCCCGACCTTACAAAGAATGCGAACACCCCTGCCCTCTTGCTTGTGGCGACGAGTGCCCTCCAAAGTGCACAAAGCAGCTCACGAGTCTCGATTTGGAGTTGCCCTGCGGACATCGTGTCTCGAAGGCACTGTGCTGGGAGGCACAGAATCCGCCTGCGATCCGCTGCAGCAAGGTCGTCAACAAGAGCATTCCTGGATGCGAACATAGTGTTCAACTGCCTTGCCACATTGACGTTGATGATCCAATGTACCAATGCCAAGCAACCTGCGACAATCCGCAGCCTTGCGGTCACAGCTGTAAGAGCATCTGTTTTCGATGCAATCTCCGCCAGGATGATGGAGCAGTCACGTCGGTACACGCCGCTTGTCGTCAGCCATGCGGCCGAAAGTACACGACATGCCGACACACTTGCGCAAAGGCGTGCCATGGAGAGAGCAAATGTCCTCCTTGTCCCGCGCCATGCGAGGTTCGTTGCAGCCATTCGGTTTGCAGCAAGCCTTGCCACGAGCCCTGCTCGCCTTGCGCATCCCAGGATTGCGCATCCCAGTGCCCCCATGGGAAATGCTCCATGCCGTAAGCCATTCAAAGTCTGCGGCTTGTTTTACAAGTAATATAAACTAATGAGTCTATAGCTGCGCGGCGCCTTGTGACTGGGTACCCTGCTCCAAGCGGTGCGAAGAAAAGCTTCCATGCGGACATCAATGTGAGTGTCGGCAAAAAATGACAATGCTTTGGCATTTCTGACATATGTGCCCAGGCCCTTCTGTGTGCGGCGAGGTGTGTCCGTCAGTCAAGTATTGCCGCGAATGCTGTTCAGACGTCAGATCCAAGGAAGTGGATTTCATCATGGGCATGGAATACCACGAGATCGACCTCGAAGAAGACCCCTGTATCTTCCCAGATTGCGGCCATTTCCTAACAACGACGAACATGGACGGCCTGATGGACCTTAAGGGATATTTTGATCTCTCCGGGGAGGGTGTCCCTATGAAGATCTCCGGCTCATCCAAGCCTTTTTCGATGGATGAAGTCAAGGTCTGCCCGACTTGCCGCGGGTCCCTTCGCAATATCGCTCGCTATGGTCGGATCGTTCGTCGCGCCATACTGGATGAGACAACCAAAAAGTTCATCTCCTGGTCCACTGCAGAGATATCTAGGCTGACCGGGTGCCTGTTTGATGAGCAGGACCGCCTCGGAAACTTGCCCCCATGTGCGGTTACTGTCCAGCATGAACAGCGGCGGAAACAACCAACGGCAGCTCCCAAACAGCGGTGGGCACAGTTACATCAAGTCACGCGTCTTGTGAGCGATGGGCGGTACGACTCGATATATCGCCTGCGTCACGAGATAAGTAAGACTGGCTGGAAAGTGAGCCGTGAGGAGCAGCCACTACAGCGTGTTGCCAACTTTGTCCGGCATGCGCAACACCAGCGAAGGACGGTCGGTGCCTTTGAATTCGATGACGCGGTGATCCAAGTGAAAGGGCAGCTGCAAGTTACGGCATTGCTTTTGAAGTGCGAGCTGGCAATCCTATTGGACTTCATGAAGCTCTACGAAAAGGCCGAGGGCAAGGGCCCAGTGGAGCTGGACATGTCGGAGTTTCTGAAGGACAGCGAAGGATTGGTTGCCCAAGCTCAAGCAACCCATCACCCGCGACAGGAAATAGAAGGCCACGTTTACTTCACGTACTTCTGTGGCATTGCCAAGACCCTCCTCCAACAGGCCGAAGCTGGGCCGAGCCTCGCCGTCGACAAGTTGAAGGCAGATGGGACCATGCATGTGGAAGCTGCCCGTGCGATAGTCGCCAAGACTCCATCGACGGCAGTGCTTGAGCCTGAGATCACGGCTGTGGAGAAGTTCCTCAACGGCGGCATGTTCTACGCAGGAGTTTCTTTGGATGAGATGCGCGCGGTGTACCGAGCAATGTCGGCCGAGCTCCTAGGGACAGGCCACTGGTACACCTGCGAGAACAATCATCCTTTCACCGTCGGCGAATGCGGCATGCCGATGGAACGTGCTCGCTGTCCCGAGTGTGGTGCTCCCGTGGGCGGCCAATCTCACCAACCTGCTGAGGGTGTGCGTCATGCCACTGAGGTAGAGGAGCTGGCGCGAGACCTGGGAGGGCTGCATATGGCATAATACTTCTTTCCTGCTCTGACCCGTTGCCCCTGGGGTACTCCCAATAGGAATGAATCCCCGGTGTCCCAGCTTACCGGCCGAGGTACATGATATCGCGGAACTCATGGGAAAAGGGAATGCCTGTGATCAAGACGACCCTGAGGATGCTCGTCAGATGATAGGAGTATGTCATGATCCGTGTGAAGGGTTCGGAATGTTCAGCTGGGTGGAAATAGTAGACTTATACACGCAGGCCTAGCATCGACAAGGGGACCAGGGAAGGACTGTGACTCTAAGGTTCTTTGTGAAATTGATGAGTGGGGGGTAACAGAGTGGTGTACCAACATCCAGGCATGTCACTGGGAGATGCTTGATCCGGCGAGGTCGTTTCGAGCAGTGTTGGATGGATGAGGAAGGAGTGTGTTCCAACAGCTGCACGAATACCGACAGGACCATGGCCGCCATGCGGATACGGGCCAGCGCAATCCACGGTAAGCGAGTACGGTCGCAGTACGAATAATGGAATGCTTCTCGACGCACCAAGCTCCACCACTCATGTGGCATGCAGCCTTTCATACCTGTCTACTTGCGTGCACGTAGAGTGTCTGGGAATGTGTCACAATGTAACCTGTACCTAGCCTGCAAGAGCCGCGCGCTGCGTATATCAGCCGCTAAATTTGGCAATTCTACCAATCCCCTATGGCGTAGTGGTAGCGCGTCGCACTTGTATACTTTACAGGCGAAATGCGAAGGTCTCTCGTTCGATCCGGGATGGGGGAATTTTCCTTTTTAGTCCGTACATCTATCTATCTCCTCCATTATTCATTAACCCAAGCTTGACAGATACTCGCATCTTTTTGCTTGGAAGCTGTAAGGTAACTACCTACCTAACTAGGTAAGGATTAAGTCGAGGCGAGACCATGACGGGCAAGTCCTTACTATGGACAGTACAAACCCCACGTCCCATGAAATGAATTATGGTATGAGCCTGACTAAGGAACAGGTGTTAGGTAGGTTACGTAGGTAATTGACTTAAGTTAGTGGTTGGCAGGCCAGGTTCTGCAATTCAAAGCCCATTTGTTTCAGGACTGCACTGCAGCTGCCTCATTCTCGAGCCTCATAGGGCTAATAAGGGTTGTTATTTTACTAGGACAAAGAAGGCAGGCGTCATTACTGCGGCCTGCCCAGGAAGCTTGGGCCATAGGTAGGTACCTACCTTATATACTTAACCTAGGTACTCCGGTTTGCAATCCACACTGTTGCAGTTACCCATAGGGTGTGATATATGTTTATTGTTTATTAAACAAAAAGCCAAAAGCAAGGGCTTCATCGGCTAAAAACTAGGTTACATAAAAAATTTACTATAGGCCGGTTAAACTTCGGTATGGCAGTGGCTACATGCTAAAGGCGGCACAAACCACCCTTAACCCTAATAAAATTAAGTTTAAATATAACACACCCCTTAAACTTATTTAAATAATTAAGCTAATTAATTTATAAAAATATTTTTAACCGCGTTAATTATATTAATTATATTAGCAACGTTAATTAATTATAAAAAATAATAAAAAAAAAAATGCTTTAACCTAAATTAAATAAAGTTTTTTTATACACCCGTAAAATTACTAATAAAAAATATAACTATTACACTATTAGTCTATTTTTTTATAAATCGTACCATAATTTTAAAGCACTAAATCGTTAGGCTCAAATTAAAAATTCAGTATAACGGGTCCCCGGCCCCATAAGTTTCCGCCAGAGCCGGCACCCCCCAAATTTAACAAAAAATTTACTTTTTTAAAAGCTATATCCCCCTTCTAAATAGCCTCTTTTTCTAACTAAACTATATAAACCTAAATTAACACATTTTCCTTTACTTTTTAAAAGTATAAAATAAATTAGCTATTTATTTTACATAACCAAAGTTTAATAACCGTTACTATTAACCTCGCTAATTAATAACGTAATTAAATTAAGAAAATCTTAATATAAGCCGCAAAAAACTAATATAATTTAAATAAAAGCAAATAATTTAAAACTTATAAAATTTTTTCTTTTATTATATAAATAAAACCAAAAACTAATTCTTTTTTTTTAAAGCCGGTTAATAAATAGCACTACTTTTTCAAAAATATCTCCCAACTACTTAATATAAAAGGTTAATAACAAAAAAAATAAATTTTTACTATAACTAACTATGCCTTAAGTACTAAATAATTTCGTTAATCGTTTAATTATTTTTTACTTTTTTTTTAACTAAATTAACTTCCCGTTAAATATTTACTATCCTTAACAACGCTTTAAAATGTTTAAACTTTTATTTATTAAAAGATTTAATTAATTTATTTACAGGTATATCGTTAATATTAAAATATTCTAAATAAAATAATCCTTTGCCGTATAACTATTTAAACTATATATTTTATATATTAATATACTATAACTTAATTAATATATATTACCCTTCTTTAATTATTAAACGTATAGTTTATAAATTATTATAATACACCTTAAATAATTTACTAAAGTTAAAAGCAATATCTCATATAAATCGCTATAAAGCTATCGCCTTTTTAATAATACGCTTAATACTAAAAAGTTTTATTTCTATAGTACTTATAATAATAATATTTTAAAATCCTAACTTTTAAATAACCAGTCTTTTAAATAATAATATCACATATTTTTATAAAAACCGCTATAACGCCTCGTTATTTATAAAAAAAACATTATTTATTATTATAAATACTTCGTTATAATCTTTATTATATTATATAATAAAAAAACAGGTTAAATAAAAATATTAAATCGTTTAAGCTATAACATTATAATATTTTTTTAATAAATTTATTAAATGCCGGGATAATTACGCTATTACTTTCGTAACGTCTAGGCGCGTAATTATTACGGCATAAAAAATCGATCCGACCTTTTTTTAATAAGCTTTAACGGATTTTTTATTAGCGATGCCTTTATACTTTTTAAATAAAGTAACTAGTATTAGTATAATTAATAACTTAACTTTATTATTAATTAAATTAAATTTATATACTATTTTTTCGATATATCCGTTTTACGTTAAATATACTTTTCGTTTAACCCGATTATAAATAACTTTAATTTTTAAAAACCACTTAACCGATTTTTCGCTTCAAATCTCGTATTTCGTTTTTAAAAAAACAATTAACCGCTAAACGTAAAGCTCGTATTTTTTTTAATATAATAATAAAATATCGTTAACGTAAAATAATACCACTACTTTCCCGTTTATAAACACGTAAAGTTTTTTTATTAATTATATTATTCCGGCTCTTTTAAAAGACGAAATAAATTCGTTAAACTATAGTTACGGTATTTCTTTAAAGCTATAAAAAGCCCGTTTTAGCTTTATAATTATAATTTCGTTCTCTTTATCTCCTAAAAAACCTAGTTTCCGGAATTTTTATAACAATTATATATAAATAAATTTATTTTACTTATTAACGTTATTATTTAAAAATATATTTAAAATATTAAATTACTTGCATTTAAAATTAAATCTAGCTATTACTACGGCTATAATGCGGAACGACTTCGTTATTAACGTTACCGCATATATATTAACGCCATATATGCTTTAAAAGTCTTTTCGTACGCAGATTTAAGCCTTATAACGGCTTAAATATCCATTTTTATTAAATTTATATATAAATACCTACTTTAAAGGCAAAATAGCGCTGTTAATTTATAAACGGTTTAAAAATCTTTAAATATTTTTATTAATTAAAACTTTTAGCTTTTTTTTATAAGCTTTTTTAAACTTTAGTTTTATTAGGTGGTTATAAAGATTTTTTTAGGTTTTTAGAGTAAATACGAGGTTATTTTAGTGTTTTTTATACTTATTTTTAAATATTGCCGTAAAAATATTAAATATAAGTTTTAAAATGTTTTTATTGTATATTTTTTCGCTTTACACGCTTAACGTAATAAATACGTATTTTTTTAGCTTAAGCGGTTTTATAAAACGTTTTATAAGCTTTATGCTATATATTTTTATAGCCGTTTTACGTATTTATTGCCTATATTATTTTTTTGGTAATGTGTTAAATATATTACTTATAAGCCTTTTATTTATATCCGGGCCCTCGCGCGCGCTAGGAATAGACAATCTAGTTGCTTGTAATGCACTTATTACGTTTAAAGTTAGCTATGCGTTAAACGCTTGTTTTATAGCATTAAAAACGTTTTTTTAAGCATTAGTTACGCTCGTTTTTATAGGCGTTAAGCCAGTCTCTCGCGTCTCTCGCGTCTCTCGCGTCTCTCGCGTCTCTTGCGTCTCTCGTTTTTTTAGCGTTGCCTAAGGAGTAAAAAGTCTTTTTAACGTAGTTAATAAAAGCATTAATTTAATAGTTTTTATTATTATTTATAGCCTTGTTTACGTTATTATTATTAATTATAAGCTTAGTTTAATTAATACCTTTTTTATTTACGCCGTTACCTTTAAGTTATTACTTTTGGGCGAGGATCTTTTTTTTAATTAGTTTTTATTTTTAAATAAAAAGTTTATTATATTAAAGGCTAGTTAGTCGATTTACGGAACGTTTAGCAGGCTTAAAGACTTTAATTAAGGTTTTTAAACTTTTAAAACCTTTTTTAATTAACGTTGCGCTTTAAAATCGAAAAATAACGTTTTATTAAATATAACGTTTTTCGTAATAATTACCCTTTTATTACTAAAGATCTAAACTTTATAAAGTAACAAAAAAATATATCTAATAAGATATCCGATATACGCCTTTAATATAGTTTTTTACTAAAATAAATTTAGGTTTTTTTTAAAATCTAGCTTTAAAGGGTATACCCGGCATTTATAAGCATAGATACCGGATTAGTTAGGCCGCGGGTTTGCTACTATAAATAGCTAATTTAAGGCTTAGTACTAATAATAATATATATAAAACCATTATTACAGCGTTTCGTAAGGCGATTCCTAATTATTTCTCTGCCTAAAAAAAATATTATATAAATAAATTGTTACTCGCTTTACTTTAAGCTATAGGTTATATAAAAGGCTTAAGCTTATTAACATAGCACGTATTTTCGTTATTACCGTTTTGCCTAACCTCTTTGCCCCTTTGTTAAGCTTTTTAATATTTAAAAGAGGCAGTTCGAGGTTAATTCCTTTGTTACTTGCTTAAGTTTAAAAGCTTATAAGGCGACGATTAAGTGTAAAAATTAACGTATTATTATTATTTATCCGTATTTTATAAATAATTAAGCTAAATTACTTATGTATTTTCGTTTTAAAATTGATAATATAATTAAACATATTTAATTTATATATAATAATATATAAAAATTAATACCTTATATATTTATCGCTAATAATTAATAAATACTTTTCCTTTTTATATCCGGTTTTTTAATAAAATAAATCTAAATAAATGCGCCAAAATAGCTAACGAAACCGGTATTTGGAAAATCTTTAAAAAATAATATTAATAGCTTTATTAATTACGCAAGCCTTACACTTATAAGTTAATTATTTTTTAATTTAAACGTTACGTGCCCTTTTTAATAACTTTTATAATATTATTACGCCTAGGTGCCTAGCGTAGAAATATTATATATATGGCGATGCCTTTTTTAAAGTTTTTTAGTTTTTTAATAGTTTATAGTGCGCCTTTTTATTACTTATCTTAAATATAACGAATATATATAATTTTAACTTTAATAATCGCATAAAATAAAAAGACAAGAGAATATATTAAGCTATTATAAGCTTAAACTTAATTGTTAAC